ATATGTGTTTCTCAGATTGTGGGTTGCAACCGGGTAGTGCATTTAAGTCCCACTTAAGAAATATATTGTCACTCCAAATCATGAGCATATTTTTCTCTCTTTTCTTCTAGAAGCTTTATTGTTTTACCTTTTATGTATAAATCAATGATCCAGCTGGTATCAATTTTGATATATGAGGCAAGGGTCAGATTTCATTTTTTTCTCTATGGGTGTCTGGTTGACCTAGCATAACTCAAATGACAGTATGGTTTGGATCTGCTTCTTGACACTTTCTATTCCACTGATCATTTTCTAGCTTGGTGCCAATACCACACTGTTTTAATCACTGTATCTTTGTAATAAGTCGTGCTATATGGCATGTAAGTCGTTCAGTTTTGTTCTCCATCAAGATTATATGACTTTATTGGCCTTCGCATCTCTATATAAATTGTAGAATTTGATTGTCAACTTCCATCTACACATACACAAACACACAACCTGCTGGACTTTTTATTATGATTGTGATGAATCTGTTCTACAATTTGGGGAGAAATGACATCTTAACAATATTGAGTCTTCTAATCCATGAACATCGTTTATCCCTTCATTTATTTATGTATTCCTTAATTTCCCTCAATAATGCTGTATTCATTTGCTAGGGCTGCCATAACAAAATACCACAGATGGGATGGCTTACACAGCCGAAACTTATTTTCTCACAGGTATGGAGGCTAGCAGTCTAGGATCAAGGTGTTGGAGGTTTGATTTCTTCTATGGCCTCTCTTCTTGGCTTCCTGCTGTGTCCTCACGTGGTCTTTCCTCTGTGTGTGTCTGTATCCCCATCACCTTTTCTGATAAGGACACTGGGGATGTTGGACTAGGGCCCACCCATATGTCCTTTTTACCTTAATTACCTCTTTAAAGGCCCCTCTTTAAAGGGGCTTAGGACTTCAACACATGAATTTGGTGGGGGATGCAATTTAGCCCATAACAAATGTCTTCTGGTTTCATGTATAGAGGTTTTGCATGTCTTTCATTCAACTTATCCCTAGATATTTTATATTTTTTAAAATTATCGCAAGTGGTATTTTAAATTTTTTACGTACTATTTGATTATTGCTAGTATATCGAATTATACTTGATTTTTGTATACTGACCTTTTATCCAACAGCCTTGCTAAATTCACATATGAATTCTAATAGATTAGCTGTAGCTTTTTTGGATGTTTCTATCCATACAATTATGTTATCTGCAAATACCGATAATGTTATTTCTTCCCTTTTCCTTCCCTTCCAATCTTTATACTCCCTCTTCTGCCTCCTTTTTTTCCCTTTATTGTGCTGGCAAGAGCCTCCAATAGGACGTTGAATAGGAGTGGTGATGTTGGACTTCTTTGTCTTTTTTCTGAACTCAAGGAAAAACATTCACGATTTCACCATTAAGTATGTATAGTGTCCGCTGTTTTTGTAGATACATGTTATCAAATTAAGAAGATTCCTTTTTAGTCATAGTTTGTTGAGAACGTTTCTCACAGACTCAAAGCATGGAAAGGTGAGCCACAGGTAGGAGATAATATCTGTAACACATTTATTGGATGAAGGACTGATATCCAGGTATTAAAAAGCTCCTAAAAATCAAAAGAAAAGATAGCCTAATCAATTGAAAGAGGGCAAAACCCCAAACTAAACAAAACGAAAATGAGACTAGGTAATTCACAAAAAAGGGATATCCCAGTAGCAGTAGCATAATTTACCTTAGTAGATGATCATAGCATCTTCATTCATAATGGCCCCAAACCGGACACATTCACATTGTTCATCAATAGTAGAATGGATAAATAAATTGTTGTTTTCATACGATGGGTCGTTTTCATCCAAAGCCCTCAAGATCCCTCTGGACTCTTCTCATAGATGATATATGCTCCATTCCACTGAGATGCTGGGAATGATATTGGGTAGGTGAGGGGTTGTTTGTCTTGCATGGAGCTATGATCGCCATGTGGCCTACAGCCTAGGGCCTGAGGAGCGAGTCACCACAGCCAGAAGTCATAAACCAAGGCTTTTGAAAAATAATTTAATGGCCCCTATTCATTTGGTTTATGGAATTATGAAGAATTCAGGTTAAGCGATGTTAACTTCCTCTGGGTTCTCAAGGTAGTGGTGGTTACTACTTAGAACAAAACAAGCTATGCACTGCCCACTCACTCACATCCCTGTTAGCTTTATGAGACCAAGTGTGAAAGGAAATTCACAGTGAAGGATGTGGATGGAGTGGGGCTACTGGAATGGCCTCTAAGGATAAATAATATAGTAAAGCATTAAGTTTCTATTAATAACTTTTCAGATACTACCTGCTAGAAACCACTCTGGTGTCTGTGTTTGCTTTTCAGGGTGCAAGGGTTGAGGGGGAGGGTGGAAATGGGAAATCATGGGCTTGTTATGAAATTAGAGCCCACCCTTGGTTTCAGAGTGTGTGTGTGGGGCCCTGTTTAGCTCCCCACCCCTACCCAGGGCATCAGAATTCCCAAGAGGGAGGTGTGGAGACATGTAAGTACTAACCTTCCAGGTAGGAATTCCAGGAGGGCTTTGTAAGGCAAGAGCAGCTGCTCTAAACAGAGTCAGACTGTCTCCTCTCCAAGAGCTGGGAAGAAGGACCAGAGGAAACTGTAGCCCAGAGAAGGGGACCCAAGCATGTCTTGTTTGAAGCCGCACAGCCGGGTCCTGGCAGGTTCTAGGCTAGACGCCATGATTCCTTGCACTCTAGACCAGGGATCTTTCCAGTAAACGACCCCAGCTTTGAATCCTCTACTGACTGGCTTTGAGGATGGGGAATTTGCATCCTACTGCCAGCTCCACGACTTGTTCCCAATCTCGGGTCGGTGTCCAAGTTTGAGGACTCCAGTGCGATGGAGGACTGGAGTGTGCAGCTCACAGGAATACAGAAGCCACCATTAGCAGACGCCTCTGACATGCCGGGCACCACACTGGGCTCCCGGGCATCTCCCACGGCACGCCTTATTTTATTTGTTCTTCACCCAAATACTATGATGGAGTCTTCCTATTTCCATTGTCATAAGAAGGAGCTAAGCAACACATTCAGCATCAGTCAGCCGACAAGTGGCAGAGCTGGAGTTAAAATTAGCCAGTTCTCTTCAATTACCCTGCAAATGAGAATATTAAAGAGAAACTGAGTCCTGACATTTCTCTGAGGTTTTGGAAAAGCTGTTAGGACTCAGCTGGACTGGGACATCTGTCCACTTGGGAGAAACGGGGCTACCCCATGGGGAACCCAATGTCCTGTGGCTGCCATGCCCTAGGGTTAGGGTGGTGTGTCGTGGGAAGGTACTAAGTGGCCCTGACTCCAGGGCTGAGGACCTGGATGTTCTCTTTCTCTTGGTTCCAGGAGCTGTGACCTCACCTTGTACCACCAGCTGTGGCGAGCAGTGAGGTGAGTCCAATCGGACCCTGAGTGCAGCCCCCCGATGGTCGATCCTGGAGGCCAGGTGGGTGCTGGATGGATGTCTGTAGTTACCAGGGCCCAGCATTTGAGGGTTCCTGAGTGCAACTCACTGAGGTGATACTGGGAAGTCTCTCAGGTGCCTCAAGGCTGGTTGTTGGGCATCTGAGGAGAAGGGCTCGGCCATGGGGGCAGAGAGCCTGGCCTCTGCAGACAGCCTCTGTTCTCCCCAGGAACGGGCTGGGCCACCACGCCGCATCCTGCTGCCCAGCCGTCCCCTCGGCCCCACCTCCACCTTATATAATGGCACATTATACAACATTGCAAAGCAGGTGGTATTTTTAAAGACAGCAAGTGAGCATTTTTTTGGCCTAAATTTGGGAATGAAACAGATGGATTTTTAAGACTCTGGGCTTTTCCTATGAATAGTAACCCTTGTTCTCCTCTGCTTTTAAACACCAGTTTCAAGACCACCTCTAGCAACCAATCAGCACTCTATTTAATTATAACAAAATTCTTAGCTCTGTCTGCTGCTGCTGGGACAAGTGGGGGGCACTGGATCAATTTCTGGAGCCAGGCAGACTTGCCAACAACAATTTTCTTTTTCCCAGAGGGCCTCGGAGGCCAGCATCAGGTTCCAAGCCCTTCCTCTTCTGCCCGCTCGGCGTGGGCTCCCTGACAGCGAGTTTGAAAAGGGTTACAGAGAGGCAGATAAATGCTAGGCTTGTTGCAGCCTTCCTGACAGTGCAGACCCCCGCGCCAGTGAGCTCATACCTGCCTCATTACACTTGGTGCCAGAGTTTTTCCATTAACAGGTAATTGAGTAGAAACTAAAATAAGCGAAGTTTGTTTCATCCCTTGGATTTTCTTGCTGGGGTTTAAAAGAAAAACACTTTAGCTTCGTTAGTGGAGGAGTGTCCTTGAAAACGTATTTATGTTTTCCAAGTGATTTGTCGCTTGGTAGGTGTAATGAGCCCGTTCCCCCGGCCTCTCCCTTCTTGTTTTTATTCTTTAAGGGCCATAATATTCAGAGAATAGGAGCTGGTTTCCTGGACCCCTGGCTGTCTGACACCCTGTTTTAAGAGTGGATGGTGGGTGGGAGGGAGGGAGACGCAAGAGGGAAGAGGTATGGGAACATATGTATATGTATAACTGATTCACTTTGTTATACAGCAGAAACTAACACACCATTGTAAAGCAATTATACTCCAATAAAGATGTTTAAAAAAAAAAGAGTGGATGGTGAGGTATGTTCCGTTCATGGTAGAGAACTAATTTTTCTCTCTCCGCTCTCTAGTACACACACACACACACCCCTGGAAAACCACCCATAGAAGCCTGTTGATCACACAGCCTCGGCCTGCAACCTACAGAGCCCAGGGGGCAGGTGCCCCAGGCCAGCCCCGCCCCCGTCTCTGTGCCCTGCGCCTGCGCATGAGCTCCAGGTGGATGACGTCGCCGGCTGCCGGAAGCAAAGCGAGGTTTGGTCTCCTTTTCTCTCTTTGCGGCTTTCTTTATGTGTGCCCAGCCCAGGTTCTAATTTCATAATTTGCTATTCCAGGAACAGGTGTTGTGTGAGCCCTGAGGTCTCCAGTCTTCCTGTTTCCCATCTCGCCGGGCTCCTATCTCAGCTGGTCTATTTTCAGCTTCGAGAAGATTCCTCATCACTGCCCAGACGTAAGTTGTCCATTAAGGTTGGAGCTTGGATGGTGTAACCGTGTGTAGTACTTGAAATCCACAGAGAGAGACAGAGGGAGACAGAGAAGGGGGCACGGCCTCCATACTTAGGAGTCTTCATCTTCATTTTACCCGGAGCACCAGAGAATCACGGCTTTATTTCCATCGTGAACCCTTTGTAAATTCTGGTGAGTGCGAATGCCCATCACCGCCCCCACCCCCATACACACACATGCACAAATGTATACGCTTGATTACAAACAACAGGCTGCATATGTTTTCAGTAGTTAATGAGCCCCGGTGGCCCTCAGGATAAGAATCACTACAGCAGGCAGGCAGGGCCAATGAAGCAATGTCATTAAAGCAATTTTTTTTTCTAGAATTTTCCCTGCTCCACACACCTGACATAGAAGTCTGTGAAGGAAAGACAGCGCCAGAAATTTGTGACTCTGGATGAACAAACTTAGCTCTGGCATTCTACCAGTAATAATAACCATAGCTAACATTTTTACGTCTCTGCTTTGTGCCAGTGTGGGGTGTCCTTCTAACAGGGATGGTGTAGATGAGGTCCCTGCCCACCCAGAGCTAACATTCCAGGGGGGGGTGGGGAGACACACAATAACCAAGTAAACAAAAGGGCCCCTTGAGATTTCAGTAAGTGCCGAAGGGAAATAAACCCGGTGACATGCTGGGGAAGAGCCTCCAAGCATTTAGGAGGGCCCCTCAGGGAGGTGCTGCGTCATCTGAGGCCTGAAAGTTGAGAAGCTTTTCTATGTGGGTCTCACTCTAGGTGCCTGACTCTGCATCCCCACAGCCTCCCAAAGCTCTCTTAGCAGCTCCATTTCACAGATGAGCACACTGAGGCCCAGAGGGACCTGCCCGGGGCCATGCAAGTGAGGGAACCAGATCTGGAGCCAGGCCTCTCAGGCAGATTCCTGAGCCTGTGTTCTTCCTTTTTTTTTTTTTTTTTAATAGCTTTATTGAAGTATAATTTAAATACCAGAAAACTCACTTGTTTTAAGTGTACAACTCAATGACTTTGAGGAAATTTCCAGAGTTGTGCAACCTTCACCACAATTCAATTTTAGAACGTTCTCATCACCCCAGAAAGGTCCCGCTTGCTCATTTGCAGTCACACCCTGTTCCCACGCCCAGCCGCGGGTAACTGCTCATCTACTTTCTCTCTGTGTAGAGTTGCCTTTTCTTCGCATTTCCTATACATGGAGTCATACATTATATAGTCTTTTGTGTCTGGCTTCTTTTATTTAGCACAGTGCTTCTCAACCTTTCTTTCATTAGCATCCATACCTTCCCCAAGGGGAAAAATTATATTTAATTAAAATTCTCCCTGAAGACAGAAATTAAGTACTAAGGATTTTGTCAGGTAGGGTTGAACTTTGGAAAGCCACAAGCTGTTGTAATAGCTAAGAATTTTTTGCCTCCAACTTTCTCCCTTTTATTTTAGGGCTTATATCCTCCGGCGGAGAATGTAAGATCATAATGTTAGGGGTTTTTTGTTTGTTTGTTTGTTTTTTGGCCGTGCCACATGGCATGTGGAATCTTAGTTCCCTGACCAGGGATCAAACCCGCATCCCCTGCATTGGAAGCGTGGAGTCTTAACCGCTGGACCACCAGGAAAGTCCAGCATAATGTTGTTGAGGTCCGTCCTTGTGCTTTCCTCTTGATCGTGTGTAGTATTTCATTGTATGGACTTGCTGCATTTTGTTATCCATTCACCAGTTAATGGGCTTCGGTGTTGTTTCCACTTTTTGGCTATCAAAGTCTTTGCCTTTAAACACCATACTGAATCCCTCAGCCCGCTCGCCATTTGAGGAAGAGCCCTTGGGCATCTCAGTGCTGCTTTGGGAAGATGAAATCACCCTCATTATCTCAGTTTCCCCATCCGTAGACTGGAGGTAATAATCCTTAGGCCACAGGATCGCCATGGCAAGGATCTACTGCCACTGCCTAGTAGATGGCAGCAGCTCAGTGTATGTCAGTGACCCTGCCCACCCCCTCATCCTTTCTGTGGGGAAAGGTGACCCCTTTGAAATCTCCCCCGCTGTGTTCCTTCCAGCTCCAGCTTCAATCTGTGTCTCCACGGATTATGTAATGTCTGACATTATTATTTCCTCCTTTTTCTCTTGTGTTATTCAGGTCAAACCCAACATTGTTCCTTAACAGGAATCTCAAGTATTTCTTTCCTCCTAGCACTTGTCTTCTGGTCTCAGCCCTTGACACATTTCCAGGGACCAATTGATTTCATCTGCTTCTAAGAAACTAGGCCTCCTGCAAGGGACTGGGGGGAGGGTAGTGCATGCGGATGCTGCAGTAAAATGAGCACTGGACTGCGAGTCCAGAGGCCGTGCTTCAGACCAGCTGGGCCGAGTGGCCCAGGCCCAACCCCAGATGCATTTGTATTAACTTCTCCTTCCGCGAAAGGTATCCTCGTTAAACGGGCTGGCCTCACAGGGTCATGAGGAGCGAATAAGAAAGACCCTGGGGGCGCAGTGGTTGAGAGTCCGCCTGCCAATGCAGGGGACACGGGTTCGTGCCCCGGTCCGGGAAGATCCCACATGCCGCGGAGCGGCTGGGCCCGTGAGCCATGGCCGCTGGGCCTGCGCATCCGGAGCCTGTGCTCCACAGCGGGAGAGGCCACAGCAGTGAGAGGCCCGTGTACTGCAAAAAAAAAAAAAAAAAAAAAAAAAGTCAGAAATTGACTTGGAAAGTGCCTTGTAGATGGTGAGGCCGTTGAGAAAAACAAAGACTGTGGTATATCCCCACTGTTGTTGGGGACCTGCCTGTGATGCTCTCCTGTTTGGGGGCCGTGGGCAGGGGGAGAGAGATGTGCATGTCCAGCGCCCAGGGTCTCAGGCTCCTGCTGCTGCCCCTTAAGACCTGAAACAATTCCACGCGAGCGTTGGGCCCAGTGTGTTGGGGAGGAGGGACATTGTAGAACTGGCCTGAGCGGGCCTCGCCCTGCTGGGAGTGTGTACCCCTGTAGACTCCTAGGCCTCGAGGGCTGAGGGAATGCCCAGAGAGAGGCAGACGGGCAGCAGCCGTGTCCCCTGCACACTTCGGTTTTCACCCCATTTCGGGCCTCTTTGTCCTCACCCCCTCCCCTCCTCTCCTGCCACTTTCCTGTTTTCCATCGACCAGACCTGGGTGGTGGGGAGCCAGCTGGGTTTGTGTCCTTTGGGTCAAAAAGGATACTTCCTGGGAACCAGTTGAGCAGAGCAGTTAAGAGGGAGGACTCTGGAGTCAGCCTGGCTGGGTGTGAAGCCCCGGCGGTGTGGTTTCCTGGCTGGGCATGTTGGCCAAGTTAAGGAACTTCTCCAAGCCTTGTTTCCTCAGCCATAACGTGGAACTAAGACACTGCCTACCTCCGGGAGGCTCAGATGAGAAGTGCTTGGGTCGACGTTTGACGCTTGAGGTCTGTTCCATGAACACGGGCTATTATTACTGCTCCTGTTGCCCTGTGTTCCATGGGGCAGGAGAGAGAAGAGCCCCGACCAGGTGCAGTCATCTAGGAGGAAGAAGACAGTGGCCTGCATGGTGTGTTTTTGGAAGGCCACCAGACTCAGATTTGCTCCCAAGGCCTGAGACACCCCATGGAATCGTTCAGTGTGGCCCTGAGGACCTTTCAGTCTCCCCAGTCCCCTGTTCAAGTGCAGACACCCCACAGGAGGGCTGACAGCTTCAGCCTTCTCAGCTGAGGCCCAGAGAAAGGGGCCTTGTGAGGGCACAGGTGGGCTCAAGGGAAGGTGACATCACCAGAGCCTGGAACTTGGCCCTCTGACCCCCAATCCTGAGCCCAGCATGAGGGTCCACTTTTTGGCCTTGAATCATCCTGATTAAAGGCAGACATTGGAAAAGATTGTTCATAAAAGGTCTTGGAATTGAAAATGATTTATTTTCCTAATGCAATATATTTTTTTTGAGTGAGAAACAGAAAAGAGGGGATGGATGGATGAATGCGTGAATATGGGGTCAAGAAACTCAGAAGCACTCATGCTTTCGTGCAGTTTGTCTTCAAAGCCACACACCATTCCATCTCTTCTCCCACTTGTTTCAGAGGGAAAGTGACTGGGTCTAGTGACTGAGGGGCTGGGCCAGACCACCCAGCAACCAGTGTACTGGTAAATGTTTAAGTAATGCTTCAGGGGGGGAAAGCCCTGATTTGTAGCATTTGCCAATTTCTATGGTGTAATTACTCTACCATGGCCAATTTTAATCTATCCACGTGACACCATTACATATGGAGTTAGAAACAGATGGCCAGAAGCATACCATTATACAATATTCCCATCACACAGCTACAGTAGATACACATCACCACAAGGGCATAGATAATGGTAAAATAAGTGATGCTTTGAGTGTTTACCACCTTTGCTGTTAATATAATTTGTCTGGTTCTAAGTTTATACAACTTAATTTTAAAAAACTGGCTCTTGGCACACAGAGGGACAAACGTGAAGTGTACAAGCTAAGAAGAGAAGCCTCAGGAGAAACCAGTCCTTCTGACATCCTGACCTTGGACTTCCAGCCTCCAGAGCTGTGGAAAAAAATACATCTGTGTTGTTTAAGCGGAAAAAAAAAAAAAAAAAAAAACTGGCTTGCAAAATTACTGGAAATCAGGTCTCCCAAGCCAGTGTGTGCTGGGTCCAGCATACTACTGCCTCCACCCCAAGGCCAATAGAAGCCCTTGGAAAGTTCTTCAGACCAGCTCTGAAGCCTTCCCCTGACTGGTCTCTGAAGCATCCACACTGCAGGCCCAGCCAGGATGGATGCCCTGTTGTCAGCCCTGAGTTCTGAGCAAGATGGGAAGTTGCCAACTTACGAAAGTATCCTTTGTCATGCACCGTCGCCTCCAAGGAAGCTGGGTTTGTCCTGTCTGAGCCTGGACTGCTTCAGGAAGAGGATTCAAAGGTACCCAATTTTCAGCCTATTGGATACTTGAGAAAATTCTGCCAACTCTCACAAAGGGACGTTCCTGTGAAAGGAAAAGTGCTCGGAAGTCCAAAGAAATCAGTGTGGGGAATTCTGGTTTCCTTCAGGGATGTTGAAGAAATTCCAGAGGCCAGACCTATTCTCCTGACTTACTGTCAGGGCAGCGGGGCGCTGTTGGCACACACCCCCCCCAGAACAAGAAGCCAGGTCAGGGCCGAGGCCCCCTGCAGGCTTGGGA